TGACTTCACCTGTAGTTAATCGGTATAAATATTATAAATTTGTGTATCAGCCTCAGATACAGTATTTCCCCCTCTCCAACGTTTCTGCTGCCTCAGCTTGTGTGCTACCTCTTCTTTTGGCAGAGCATCACATTAAAAACTACCAGAACAATGAGTTTCATTTGGAAACACCAATATCCCTCTCTGACTTTCTTCCCCATCACAGAATCATAGAATGGTTTGGGTTGGAAGGGACCTCAAAGATCATCGAGTTCCAACCCCCCTGCCCTGGGCAGGGACACCTCCCACTAGAGCAGGTTGCTCAAGGCCCCATCCAGCCTGGCCTTGAACACTTCCAGGGATGGGGCATCCACAGCTTCTCTGGGCAACCTGTTCCAGTGTCTCACCACCCTCAGAGTAAAAAATTTCTTCCTGAAATTTTCATTTCAGGAATCTTCATTTTCCTACCCTTTTTGTGATGCCAACATCTTCATTAACCTTCCTAGCTAGTCCATGCAGATTAAATTGCCTGAAGGAATTCCTATCAGGTTTAAAGTGCATTTCCCTCTCTTCTGAAATTAGTTTTTCTCCATTTCAGTTCTGGTTTCTCTCTTAGATATCACTTTAACTCCTTCCCAGGACTCGTCAGTTGCAGCAGCACGTATGCAAAGAGCAAGCTGGAATCCAAAGCCATCTCCATTGAGGAGGATGTGTCCCGTGCTGCACTGACTAATCCAAGTGCAATGTTTGGACCTATCAAGCAGTCTCCCAGAGGGCAACTCACAATGAAAGAAATCTCAAGAGACCAAGATTTCAAGCCGTCACTGGGGGTAAGGTGATCTCTATTAAATACAGTATTTATGCGAGCGTGCAGTTTGTTTGAATGGAAGAAATATTCTTGTCAATGGTCTGGAGGTTGGCTGGAAAAACGCATCCTTTCTAACTCAACTGCTTGCTAAGGCCATTCACCAGTTTTATGACAGGCAGAGAACTTCTCCACTAATTAGAACAGAACAGAAATCCCAAAACCCTACGGAGGGGCTGAAGCTACTTGGTAAAATGGAAAAGATTATGCCGGTAGCTGTGTGAGCATTTAACAATGCAAATTTCAATTCAGAAACATGCCAAATGCCCACTGACATCAAGCCAATGAAGTCCTACAGAAGTAAGGACCTACATGAGTGGCCCTGGACATGGAGAGCTGTGACTGTCAGCAGCAGTCAATCTAGAAGAGTGCTGTGCTCTGCCAGTCGTGCTCCGATAGTCACAATCTCTATCTCTGAAAGATAAAACCAGATATTTTTACTAAATGGTCTTACTTAATCTTTTCTTACTCCATCACAAGCAGCCAGCAGTTTAAACAGCAGATCCCTACCCTAAAGCTAGCGGATACAGACCGAACAAACTGTGTCACAGCTAGAAATGAGGAAGCAGATCCCTACCCTAAAGCTAGCGGACACAGACTGAACAAACTGTGTCACAGCTAGAAATGAGGACAACATCCTGATTTTTAGGCTTGGTTTCTGTTGGCCATGGTCTCCTCCTGATTTAGAAAAACTTGAAAAAAAATTCGTAACACGTATGCCAAACAAAGACAGCACAGAAAAGAGGAAGAAAAAAGCTTGCAGAAAGAAAAGGAAGATGAAAGAGAATAGAGGATGAAAAGAAACACTGTTCTACACAAGAGCACCAGGGGTACCATTAATAAATTAGATATCAGAGATCAAATACTAGATCTTCTGTACCTTCATGCTCTTGCCACTTTGAGGCGATTGCAGAATAAAACTTTGAATGTGCTAAACTTGCATGATTTTGTTTAGGAGAAGATTAATCTGTTAGTGACATATCTTAGTGAACAGAAAAGATACTAGACTAAATCTTGTCTTCTCAAAATTATATGCATTAATTTTAAGCAGATGCCTACCAATTTCTTAACAGCATGGTTCCTCCTTTATTATTTAAATAATCGTAGTTACACACCTCTGTAATTGATTTCCTAGGAATTTTTAGGCCAGTATGGAGCTCCAGGCAGACATGCTTTATGTTAGCAAGTGTCACAGCAGCGCACTGAGGTGACATGCTTTGCCTTTTGGTAAAACTAAAAAGAAACCAGAATGGCTTCATTCTAGCCCCAAACCAGCAGCATGAATCACAGCAGTGGACACAATAGAGTGTGTAATGACATACTTTTATTTCTGTGAAACAGCCCGTGGCATTTTTAAACCCAGAACATACATTGCTACTCCTTGAGGTGCTGAAGAAGTTTGATCATATAATACAGATGGCATCAGAAGTAACTTGCAAGAAATAAGTGATGCTGGAGAGCAGGCTTCCCAGAGGTGCCCTCTGTGGGGCTAATGTCCTCCCACTCCAGCCACCAGAAACCCTCCTATCTTCAAAGGAGTAAAGTTTGGTAAAAGCCTAACAGCTTCTGAAAATCCTGTGGTCTTACTGTATGCTTCTGTGTTTCAGCAGTGAAGTTTGTACTATCTCAGAAATGATACCATTATTAAAGCAATGTGAGGCAGAGGTACCTATCTGACAGCCAGGGAAGCAGCAGTTACACAGATGCTGGTGCTTTTTTTAGACTAGACTTCCAAGGGATTTGTTTTTCTGTCCTCCAGGAAGAAGGGTTTGCAGCATCAGAAAAACAAAGATGTCAAAAAGCAAGAAAGAAAACAGAGTCAGATGACAAATGTAAAGCTACTTGCATAGGAGACGACAAACTTAATGATACAGACTATGTCAGAAGAGGACAGACCAAAAAAACCAGCAAAGAGCTCATTTACAACAAAGCAAAGAGAGATGTGATCAACCAGAATTCTGAAAAAATCAGCAAAGAGCTCATTTACAATGAAGCAAAGAGAGATGTGATCAACCAGAATTCAATAAATGTACAACTGATGAAGTTCAGGAGCTGAAATTTCAGGTAAACTGCTTGTACTATATCAAGGTTACATTTATTAAGCAAATCTGTTCTGATTTAGGTGCTGTTTCTGTAGAGTATCTTTATGGATAACGGTATAATTTTAGTAACTGAGAAACTCTGTTTCCACCCACATCAAATTTCAGCTCCTCATTCTTTATTCCAAGGTGTTATATTAAATTCCTAAGTTCCTAATTATTTGGTCTTGACTTTACAATTCTGGAGAGATCAGCCAAACTAGTATGAGCTCTAAAAGCCTGAACAGATGCACAGCAAACCTCCAGTTTGTCTACAGTTCTCTGGAGTCAGCCAGAGGAATTCAGCATAGAGATTTCTTTTTGTAGAAAGCCAGAAGGAATGGAGGAACAATACAAGCTGACAGCTGAAAATATATATTTTTTTTCAGGATTAGAGCAGAAGAGAATGTAGCCAGAGGGTAAAGGACCTGCTATTGTAGATACAGACAACAAAATGCTCAGACAGCCAGTATTCAAGTCACTGAATTTTACATTCCCATGAAAATTAACTGAAACCTTAATGCCATCAGCTACGAAAAGATTACAGATAGAATTAGTGACATGACCTATATATAACCATGGAATCTGATCCTTCAGGAGAGTTAAGCATCCAGGGAGTCTCGTTGGTGGGACCACTCACGTTCAAAGCTGCAGCACGCAGTTGCTCAGGAAACAGGAGTACCCTACCACCCACTGCAAAAGGCAGCAGCTAACTGCTTACCCTAGGTAAGAGCCTGCAAACAGACAAGACTTAAATTGTGTCAATAGTTGATGTGCCCATACTCAACATCTGACATATTCAAGCACCTTCCTGAGTTGGGGTCTTAGTGAATTTCATTTGCGTTTTATTTCTTCATCAGAATAATAAAAGTACAGATAGAGCAGATGGCTCACAAGGCATATCTCCTAAAATCAGTGCCAGCCCACAGAAGCTAAAGTAGGTCCATATTCATACCACATGGATCATGCTTTCTGTGGTCAAGAACGTGGCATGGATGTTCTGTCTGAGGATAATATAAAAGAAGCTGCTATCACAAGGGCTAAATTATGTATTTTATTCCACTGATTGTACATTTAATTCTTTAAAGTATAAGAACCTGGAATTACACAGTCCCATAATTGGATTTAAGGCACACAATGTACAAATATTTATAAAATCTGTGTACAAAGTAGGCTGCATATAATTGCATTAAGTAAAAAAACAAATATACAGGCCATAAAAATGGGAGTCCCAAAGAGCAGGATACTATTAAAGTGCAAACAAGAAAAAGATATACATAGTTCATTACATGCATTAAAACAGCCTCATATTTTATTCCTGTGATTGCCAAGAAACAACAAATATCATAGAACAAAAGTTAAATCGACGCTTTGTCCTGCGCTGACAGCTACCACGTGGGTTTGCTGCACCATGTCCTCTGAGGTTGCTGTGACAGAGTAGGTACCAGGAGAAACTTCAATGTAGATGTCTTTGGAAGCTTTTCTGGCCTTCAGGGTGAAAAAAAAAAAACAAACTTTCATTACTGTTTAGTCATCTTAGATTTCCCACAAAAATAAAAATTTTGAATTTGGGTAAAAAAATTAACTTTTCAGCTGCTATATAAACATACTAAGATTTTTCAACATATACAGGCAGCATGGGACGAAACTGCAAAATATTTCTCTCAATACCAAAATTAGCAAGTGCTATCCTCAAAGTATTTCACCTAATGTTTCAATGAACGGAAATAATCAATGTGCTGTAAACTCTGTCTCACAAAACTGAAAGTTACCAACTTAAACTGTTTTGAACATAAGCCTGGAAAACATCCCCATAACAAGGGTGCTCCCACTAATTTCTACTGTGGTACAGATTCCATGTTTTTTATCTTTTGTGGCTTAAAAGCTTCCAAAATTGAGTTGGTGAGGTTTTAGGCTTTGAAAAATGGAAAAAAAAAAAAAGGTTATTGTCACTGCTGCAAATTACAGGAGCCTGAAGATTAATCATGGTGTTTGATGCTCTGTAGCAGTTCAAAAGATAAAGTGGGCTCTCAACTGGTTATGTGGCAGAATGTCATCATCTGGTTTATAATTAATTGTGCAAGACTCTGTATGCCCATTCTACTGCCCACCTACACATACGTTAGGATTGTGAATGCACCACTCATTAATTTTCTGTGCCATCACAGTCTTCACACCTGATCACAAATTTTAACCAGCTTGATGCAAAATGATGAAGAAATGCTATAGCACAATTTAAAAACGAAGCATTCTGTAAACTTACACGGTGCTGGCAAGTTTGAGCTTGACTGGGTGCTACAGAGGCTTCAGTCTTCTGGAAAGAAAAGATACTGTTTTCTAATGATACAACACAAAAGGCAAATTCAGCACCTGAGAGAGGGGATGCTTTATGTCCATGAAATTTTCATCTCCACAAAAAGAGTGATATGATACTGATTGGTGCCACCAGAAGTTATTCCCTCAGATCAGGCCAGATGTTCATATGCTTGTGGTGTCAAGCCAGACATACAGTCTCAGAGACTAGATGGGAAACAGCTGTCCCATGGGAGGGAAGGAATAACCTTTATTAAAACAAAAACCACCTACTTACCTCTTCTTTGGAGGGCTCCACCTCTACTACTTGGCTGCCATGGTATCTGCAGATGTGTTTGATTTCGTGCTCTTTGCATCTAGAGACTGCTGTGAGGCTATAGTACTTCTGGGCAACAACAGAAACAGAGAATATTATGTGGAGGAGCATCAAAGCCGTGCTCACAGCTACTGCAGATTTACAGTTAAAAATGGAACTGCACAGCTATTGATCTCCTGCAGTAATTGGCTGGTTTGTTCTCTTGTGAAGATGAAAACAATGCCTGGATGTCCACACGACATCTGTCAGCCCTGATTTTAGATGCCTGTCTCCCAACACAATTCATAGGAAATCTCTTGACACCTCAGAACTGAATTAATAAATATCAGAAGGAATGCTCTGGAAACATCTACCCGATCAGGCTCTCCAAGAAAAGCTCTGGTGGAAGGAGACATAGTTTATGGGTCCTTAATGGAATGTATTATGCAAGCTAGGTGCTTTGCAACCCTTGAAAACTGGTTCTGCAGGGCATGTGCAGGAGCAGGCAGTGCTCTAAAAGCAGAACACATTAATACTGAAAAATGATTTGTCGATGAAGCAAAAGAGTCTTCAAGGCTAGTACCAGTAGATAGCAGTTCTGAGAATTGTATTTAAGTCCATGGCAGCCCTTTTCTGGCTTCACAGTAAAGGTACTTGAATCATCCCCACTGCAAATTAAATACTCGAGTACAGCTCTGCTGCCATCTACTGTCACCACAGAACTCCTCCCAGACTTACCTTTTTGACACAGGGACCAAAAAGTTCAAAAATATCTATTTTACTTCACTTACGTTTTCTTTATCTCTGACTATCGAGAATAAACACAGAAAAAATAAGGCCAATAGCGATTCTTATTTCCAAATCTACTGCTGGGCTTTACTCCTTGAGATTATGCACACATCAACAGATTTGGTGCTTGTATTATGGTTTACTGGGAAGTTATGTCCCCAAATACATCAAATGCTCTGATCTATTGCATAACGCTTCACAGAGCATCTCTATCACAGGAGGCGAGCTGGATTCTTTTACATGATGTGCCAAAGCAAAGAAATGGAATAGAACTTTGGGTAAGAAACGTGGGTAAACTTTGGTCTCTAAATAATTCTGAACAACTAATCTTAAATCATGTAATTTTGATCATTTGTACTCGGTGGCATTCCAATGCCTAAAATGGTTATGTTTGGCTATGGATTTTTATTTATGCTTTGTAAACTTTATCTGAGACCTTGTGGGTCTGAGAATTCCTCCCTCCTCCTCCTCCCCTCTTTTATGACTCTTCTCTGCAGAAAATGACTGAAACAGTTTTGTCTTGGCCAATGCACAAATGTGGGAACCATCCCCTGTGGTTCCCTCTCTGTTACAGACTCCTCACAGGATGAGTGTCTATACATTGTTATATTTTTGTTTCATCTCCTGTGAAAATTCTATTCTGCCTGAGCTGTTTAGGGATTAACTGGTTACTGTGTACCTCGTGCCTTGAAATGATAAAGGAGTTGCTTGAGCCCTAATCATGTGGTGTGTATTGAACCACTGCTGTCTCTAATTTAATTGAAGACTTAGCTGCTGTTATTAACTCTGCAGACAACCAGCTCCCTGCTGCGTGGTGATAACACATCCCGAAGGGCACGGATGATGTCAACTGTTGGTGGTTTTCAGAGACTTTAATGCAGTGGTGGGGCTGCAGGGCTGTATCCACAAGGATGGGCTGGCAGAGGTGGGCTCCCCATCCACCCACCCAGAAGAGTAATGACACCTGGCAGCCAGAGTGCAAGCACGGATGTCACAGTGTGGTTTCAGCCAGTATGTACCAGTATGAAAGCAGTGGAGCTGTGCATCTCCGTGCCATACGTCAATTTCTACCCCTCACTAATAAAGACGTGGTGCTGTTCAGAAGAACCAAGCCTGTCATCCAGTAGCAACGTCTCAAATCAAGTTTGCTTAAATCATAGAATCGTCTAGGTTGGAAGAGACCCTTGGGATCATCGAGTCCAACCATCTCCCCTACTCTACAAAGTCCTCCCCTACACCATATCCCTCAGTACCCCATCTAAACATCCCTTAAACACATCCAGGGACGGTGACTCCACCCCCTCCCTGGGCAGCCTGTTCCAATGCCCGACCACTCTTTCTGTGAAAAATTCCTTCCTGATGTTCAGTCTAAACCCACCCTGTTGGAGCTTGAAGCCATTCCCTCTCATTCTGTCACTAATTACCTGTGAGAAGAGACCAGCACCAACCTCTCTACAGTGTCCTTTCAAGTAGTTGTAGAGAGTGATGATACAAGACACGTGAGACTCAGACATTACAGGTGCAAAATGGGGAGGTTCCCTCTGAATTCAGAGTGAACAAGTGGCAGGAAACAATCTTTTGCTCAAGATTCAAAGTCTCCCTTACATCTGCCACCAAGAACCAGCATGAGTGGTTCATGAAAATAAAGGGTTACTCTGTCCTAAAGCCTCTGCACAGCAGAGGTATTTGTAGCACTGGAAACAACTCTCTGGGCTGTGATACCTGACAGTGGCTGCCACAATGTAATTTGTGATATCATTTGATGTTTCTGTCA